GTGGTTTGGGGTGGAAAGGCTGCAATGTGGGATTTTCAAATCTCATTGTCACAATCACAGAGCATCTGAGGTGTGTTTAAAAGCCCAGTCTGAGCCACCCTGTTGTGCAGGAGACCCAGGCTAGCGCATATGACACAGGTGAGCAGCACCATCTCAGTCCCTTCACCCCCTCAGGGAACAATTGCTTTGAGCTGGCACAGACAGCAAGAGAGTTGTACAGAATATATTAGTCTCTTCCTCCACCCTAGAGGAAACGTGCTGTGTCTGGGACTGAAGACTGCACAGACGCAGGCTGATAAGAGGAAACAGTACAGACACAATGCAATTTTAGGATGGAAGCTATGGATGTGCCTACTAGATGACTAGGGGCAAACCCAACGAAGTAAACGAGCTAGCTGGGGTCTGCTTTGCTGTGTTCTGGTGTACACAGTTACAATCCCTATTCCCCTTCAGTTTGATTGGTCAGAGCAGCCTTCTGTGATTTTTCCCCTTTGAGCTGTATTTATTTCACAACCATACAGTTTACTTTTGGTAAAAAATATTGTGCTGCAAAGTCTTTGGTGGCCTTTGTGGTTTAAACAGCCTGGATTACAGCCTTGGTAGACAAAGCCTTCAACAGACAAGCCGGGAATGTTAAGTCATAGTGATAGTAAACAAGCACTTTCAACTGGATTTTTTCTTCTCAGTACGGTGTTAATCTCCTTTTTCAGTGTGCACCAAGTCAGGATCATTGTGTTCTGGTTTGAAATGTACATCCCTGAGCTGTGAAAGAATGTAGATTGGAGTTTGCTGGAGCCAGAAACAAGATTAATTACTGAAAGGGATTGTTTGACTATAAAGTGGATAGAAAGCTGGCTAGATCATCTGGCTCAACGGGTAGTGATCTACGGCTCAATGGCCAGTTGGCAGCTAGCATCAAGCGGAGTGCCCCGGGGGTCGGTCCTGGGACTGGTTTTGTTCAACACAGGGCTTTGGAGCGGAGCCGCTCCGGAGCAGTGGAGCTGCAGGTTTTTGCCTGGACCTGGAGCAGAGCCGGAGCACAGCTCCAAAGCCCTGGTTGAACATCTTCATTAATGATCTGGATGATGGGATGGATTGCACACTCAGCAAGTTTGCAAATGACACTAAGTTGTGGGGAGAGGTAGATAGGCTGGAGGGTAGGGATAGGGTCCAGAGTGACCTAGACAAATTGGAGGATTGGGCCAAAAGAAATCTGATGAGGTTCAACAAGGACAAGTGAGGGGGGATTTGATAGTAGTCTTCAACTACCTGAAGGGGGGGTTCAAGAGAGGATAGAGCTAGGCTGGTCTCAGGGGTGGCAGATGACAGAACAAGGAGCAAAGGTGTCAAGTTGCAGTGGGGGAGGTCTAGGTTGGACAGTAGGAAAAACTATTTCACTAGGAGGGTGGTGAAGCACTGGAATGGGTTATCTAGGGAGGTGGTGGAATCTCCATCCTTAGAGGTTTTTAAGGCTCAGCTTGACAAAGCCCTGGCTGGGATGTTTTAGTTGGGGTTGGTCCTGCTTTGAGCAGGGGGTTAATTTAGATGACCTCCTGAGGTCTCTTCCAACCCTAATCTTCTATGATTCTATGACTTGACAGCTCCCTTAAGAGTTACTTACAGCAAGCCTGAAGAAGGTTTTGCAGTAGTCGGAGTAGCTCTTTTCCAAACTATTGAGCAAAGCCGGGTGTCTCACTCTTAACACAGCAAAGGATAGCTCAGACCACACTTACAAGTTCTAGAGCAGCAGTTCTCAAACTGTGGGTCGGGACCCCCAAAGTGGGTCACAATCCCATTTTAATGGGGTTGCCAAAGCTGGCTTAGACTTGCTGGGGCCTGGGGTCAAAGCCCAAGCCTCACTGCCTGGGGCCAAAGGTGAAGCCCGAGGGCTTCAGCCCTGGGTGGCAGGATTCAGGTTACAGGCCCCATCTGGGACTGAAGCCCTTGGGCTTTGGCCCCCCCCCACCCGGTGCAGCAGGACTCAGGCAGGCATGGGTTTCGATCCCGCCTCCTGGGGTCGTGTAGTAATTTTTGTTGTCAGAAGGGGGTCACAGTGCAATTAAGTTTGAGAACCCCTGTTCTAGAGCTTGATCTTGCGAGGTGCTGAGCACTCCAGCCTAGTGCAGGAAAGCACTTAAGCACATGAAGAGTCCTAAGTCAGTAGAACTACTCACATGATTCAAGTTAGGTACTGTGTAAGTGTTTTGGAGGGATTGGGTCAGCATGCTCAGGACCTTGCAGGATCAAGTCCTTTTATGCAGTTTATTCAGTGTAAGGGCAAGACAGGGCTGATATCCTCAGTGGTTTTGGAGTCTTTGAGATGGAAAAACAAACAAACAAACAAACAAACCTTACCTTCTTCCTCCCCCAGAGAAGGGCCAATAGGAGTAGGATGTAAGGAGGCACTCCCTGCACCTGCTTTCTCGGGATAGTCCTTCCTGTGTTGTCACAAATGGGGGTGTCAAATTCACCCCTGCAGAGGGCATGAGGACACAGCTGATATTCACCATTCCACAATCTTCAGATTGCCACATCTGATGCAGGACGGTTCTATTTCCCACTCTATTTCTATTTCCCACGAAGGGAGATGTTGCTCCTACCTCTGTCCCTGGCATTCAGGATCTCTGCACCAAGGCCAGTTTACTCCTGCTTGGTGCAGGGGTGAGGATTTGAACCAAGTCACATACTAAAATATAAAACTATTTACCATGCCAGGTTACTTTTGTTTGGTCACCAACTCAGAAATGGGCTCCATTTACACTGAACTCTATGCTGAGTCTGTATGCTTTGAGTGAAAAACAGACTGACTTTGGAGCAAAGACAGCTTTCCCAGTCAAAACAGGTAAAACATTCAGGCTTTGGCAAATTTAGTGTACAAAGAGTCATTTTATTGTAACTGCCACTAATGTGACTCTGGGGAAGGCACAAAATGACTATTTTCATGGTCAATTCCACCAATTCAAAATGGTGAAGTTGGCTCAGCTGATAGTCGCTGTATCAGCTCAATAAAACCCTTAACCATAGCTGTCTAGGAGTCAAATGGCTGTTTTCTAATCCCTCCTGTTGATTGATGCAAGGAGCCCAACTGTTTATGCCAATAGCATAAAATTCAGTATTTCAACCTTTTTTCCTAGTTTGGCACAAAAATAAATTTTGAAATATCAGAATTTTCCACACCAGGGACATTCTGACTTTTGACCAACTCTAGATTGGTATAATGGTGTCACTCACAGGACTGTTAAGAGACTCAAATCACTGGGCTTGATCTCTGATGAAAGTTGCAGTAGGTGCAAAGTTGTGCTATAAATAACTAATACATTGAACTATTGGTGTAATAGATTTTTAATACAGATACATATTTATGGCATTACATCAAAGCAATTTCATGAAGATAGATTTTTGATTTTACAGCGCTGTAAAATAGATACATACAAATGTAGGACAAAATATGGCAATTACAGTATTTAGTATAAAATCTAAACATGTGCATTCAAAGGGAAATATACTTAAGTAACCTCAGTAGTAATTTAAACTCAGTAGTTGGCTGCACCTATCCTTACTTTTTTCAGGAATTGGAAATTATTTTAGCCACACAACTCCTATTAAAGTTAATAGGTGGCAAAATTCCATTGGAACCCTCGGAAAAGCGAGGGGTTACATTTCCGCATTAAAAACCCAGACACTTAAGTGCACTGAAACGTGTTGTGTTCCACAGTAGAATTCGTGTTACTCTACTGGCTGCCCAGGCGATGGCAACTTCGAAAGGCACTCATGAATTAGATTACAGTAACTCTGGTCCACAGGCATTTTGATTCTTGGTACAGTACACTAGAAAATACAGTAATTCAAAGCATTTTATATTGTATAACTTCTGTCATAGTGCCTTAGCATTCAAGTTATATTGCACACGGTTAAATATCCTGGGTAGTTTGTGATAAAAATCTAATATTTACATTTTGTGTTTGTTAAAGAACAAACACATTGCTTTGTGGAATGTTTTTTTGACAGCTAGCAGTAAGTTTTAACACTTTCTATATTTCTAAAAAGCAACTGGAAATTTACATCCAAGTTTCTATTCAATTCAGTGAAGATATCACTTTCTTCTCAGCTACCTTTCTAGTACACATTTTTGGTCCTTTTAACATATTCAATTTTTTTAATTAAAAATATATTACATTACATCTCATGCTGTAGAAGTTTGCCTGAGCATGTGGTAGCCAAAATAACTAGCACTTTTAAATAAATAAATATTTAATTTCTAAAAGCAGCAGTAGCTTTGGAGTTCTGTAAACAAATTGCTATGAGACGTCTATAAAAAGACTCTGAATTTGGCATGTTGAGACTTTACTTGGCAATATTTTAGAGTTATATGAACCTGCTACAGTAGAAAACAGTTTATTAGGCATATCACATAATCAGGCTGAAAAGAAATGTAAAAAAATACTGATTATTCCTTATATCATATCTGAGGATAAATAAAAATGATCATCCACCAAAAAGAGTATTCCTTTACATAATCAAAACATACTCCCTCAGTTCTACTTTAGGTGAGACTTTAAAGGGAATGAACAAAACACATACAAAATGTGTACAAGATGTACAGGACCCAGAGGTAAACAGAAGAAAACCAGCTTTATAAATTTACAGATATACTAATTTAAACAGCATTGACATCTTAGGCAGTTATAGCTCACCAGAATAAGACCAATATTAAAACTGTCAGTCCAAATTTGAAGAAGAAATGTTCCAAATGTACGCTTGGTACAAACAATTTCAGTGCAAAGCACTAGCTCTGATGAAATTTTGCTGGCACTTAGCTTGCCCTAAATTCCTGTTAAAACATAAAAGAGTTTGTATATAAAATGTATGCATTCATAAACACACACTCCATCTACGATCTGATCTACATTACAGACCTATAATCGGAATAACTACATTGCTCAGGAGTATGAAAAATCCACACCCGAGTGAGTCAGTTATACCAACCTAACCCCCCATGTAGACAGTGCTATGTCGATCAGAGAGCTTCTCCTGTCGACATAGCTACCGCCTCACAGGGAGATGGATTAACTACGCCGTCAGGAAAGCTCTCGCCCATCGGTGTAGGAGTATCTTCACTTAAGTGGTACAGCTGCACCAATAGAGCATTTTAAGTGTACACCTGCCCTTGGTATGTATATGCCTCAGCATGTTCTTGAAATTCATGTTAGGTGATCTATTATAATATATTGAATCTTTCCTATAGTACAGTTGGAGTTTAGAAGATCAAGTTCAAGACTGCATGGCATAGCAGTAGTGCTGTACAAGTGTCATCTTGGCATTTCTCTAGACAGCTTTTTATTCCATATAAAAATAGCCCTATTTTAGCTCCTGTCATTAGAAACTAATAATTCATGAAAAAACAAAGAAAAATTATTTGCCTGCTTTTGCAAGGCACATACAATTTGCTGTTTATCATTATTGCTGTAATGATGGAACATTTCTGTTCAAATTGGACTTAAAGACCTCCATAGTCTGTAACAATGGTAAACCAGTCAAAGATACTGAAAGTTGAGAGTGTCCAATGTTGCACCAAACCTAAACAAACATATGTCTGGCTAACTGCTAATAAATTAAACATTTGCCAAGCAATGGTTAATGTTGTTAGAAAGCAAATACCAATAATTAATACAGCTTTGTTACTATATACCCATATGGTAAGAGCTGTCCATAAATGAATCCATTAAGCTGCAACTGTACTATACTTTAACATAAATATGTTAATTTAATTGTTGAATAAAGTTTGTTTCTCAACAACCACATTTGCCTTTATCTTTCTCCTCATGTAGCTGCTCAGTAGAGCTGTGTCCATTGGACCGTACTACCCCCTCGGGTATCCATGACTTGTCCACGCACCGTTCCATGCGCTTCATGATAAGGTCAAGCAGAGTTTCAATTGCCTTGCTCACATTAGTTCCATTAGCTGCACTTGTTTCAAAATATGGTATCCTGTAAAGGATTAAACAAAACAAAACAAAAAACACCATCACAGATCAAGTGAGACCTTCCCTGGGAGGAACGCATTATATGGTTATGGCCATGTGCATTAAAACATTCTCCTTAGAGAATGTCTGGAGAGGTCAACAGAATCAAACAGAACTCAACAAAAGCTGAAATTGAAATGCAACCCTTTGTGACGTGCTTAGAGATGCAATAGCAGGACAAATATTAATTAACCTCATAACAGCCCGGTGAGGTGGGTATTAACCCCATTTTACTGAGGCACCAGTGGATTATGTGAATTCCACAGTGAGCCAGGAAAAAAGAAATCCTGGAGTTCTGTGTTCCAGTCCTTTCTTTTAACCACAAACAAATGCAACTGCTCTGTTGGGCCTCGTCTCCACAAGCATTTTTCTTAAAATTTCCCACCATGACTGCTCTACTGGTGGTAGCAATAATGGGAGTGCTCGCATATATGGGCTGCCAAGAGATCTTGTACACTAGCTACCAAGGGTGTAGCTGAACTGGTGCGAAGGCAATGGTTATTAAAGAAAAAAAATGTATGTACCACAGCCACTGCACGTGTGGGATGTCCCTCCCTCAAAAGTTTCCAAGAGCCAAGGACATAACACTCTTCATGCTATTGTATTCCTCCGGCTCCTAAGGACCTCAAGGTTTCGGAGAACAGCTGTCTCTTCAACTCCTGCTCTAGGTGCTTCCTCCCTGGGCTCTCCCATTATGTGAATCTCACTATTTCCATCACAGAGTGGCAGCTGCAAGGAATATGGGGAGAATGGGCCACTTAAGGATTCAGATTTGGGGCGGTGGCAAACATCAGACAATGGGCAGTGCATGTGGGATGGTCAGTCATTGTCTCTTCACTGATCTGGATTCCCTGTTCCTCTCAGGACCTTAGGGTGCAAGAGGAGACTGGCAACTCAGGAGAAGAGGCATGAAAGCAAGATAGGGGACAGAGATAGGCACTGAGGTTGAGGGGAAAAAGCAGGAGAGAGAGAGAACAGAAGGAGGAAAGCACGTGAAAGTGGTAAAAGGGGAAAGGAAAGGGATGGACAACCTTGAATTGCGCACATTGGAGAAGAAAGATGGGAAAGGGTGACTTGGGAAATGGAGATGAGAATAAAAGAGATAAGAGTGAAAACACTAGGCAGAAATAAGAAAAGGGATATGGCGATGGAGAGAGAGAGAGAAGCGGATAATGAAATTGAGGGAAAGAAAAAGTAAGGAAAGTAAGTGAATTGGATACTGTAATACTATGGTATTTCCTGGGCTCCAAATCCCACGGAGGATGCTGCTACTCCCAAATGGGTCTCAAGAGCATTATTCTCCATCCATAAAAGGCCTTCACTCCATCCCTTACCGTCTGGAAGTTCCCTGTTGTTTCCCTTAACTTCTATCAGATGATGATGTACACCGGACAACCCCCTATAATATCTTGGGAACAGAAAGAATCTGTGGGTCAAATGAAGCTTCCCTTCCCACCTATGCCACAGGAAAGGGTGAACAGTAGCAGGAACATTCACTGGAGACAGAGTGATTGATGATGGTGGTGAGAGCATAAACAGAGAGGCACGTGGTGATAACAGAGGATATAAGAGGGTTTAAGTGAGATGCTGACATTCAGGAAGAGGAAGCTACCAATTGCTTTGATGAAAGACAATGACAAGGTGCAGAAGGAATAAGGGAGCTCCAGGCAGTGATAAATTCAGTTAATTTCCAGTCTTTAAATGAAGAAATGTAGAAAATTCCTCATAGGATACTGTGCAGAAAGGGATGGAAGAGGCAGCTCTGGGACTGAGGAGTGAAGGAGGGATTCAATCAATAGTCCAGAATAAGCATCAGAAGTCACCAGCACAGTGAATCATGGCCAAAAAAAAAAAGGCCCAAAAAAACAACAGGGCCATATACTATGGAGAAAGAGACTGTAGACCAGGGGCGGGCAAACTTTTTGGCCTGAGGGCCGCATCGGGTTTCGGAAATTGTATGGCGGGCCGGCTAGGGGAGTCGTGGCCCAGCCCCCCCCCCCCCCCCCCCCCCCCCCCCCCCCCCCTCCCCCCCCCCCCCCCGGCACTCCTCCCCCCTCCACACACACCCCGCTCCCTGTCCCCTGACCACCCCCAGAACCCCCACCCCACCCAACCCCTCCTGTCATTCCTGATGGCCTCCCAGGACCCCTACCCCATCCAACCCCTGTTCCCCGCTCTCTGACCACCCCGAACCCTATCCAAACCCCCGCACCCTGACCGCCACCCCAAACTCCCCTGCCCTCTATCCAACCCCCCCTGCTCCCTGCCCCCTTACCACACTGCCTGGAGCACCGGTGGCTGGCGGCGCTGGAGCCAGGCCACGCCGCTGCTACCACGCAGCACAGAGCACCAGGTCAGGCTGGGCTCTGCAGCTGCGCTGCCCCAGGAGCTCCCAGCCCCACCGCCCAGAGCATTGCGCCAGCGGCGGGGCGAGCTGAGGCTGCAGGGGAGGGGGAACAGCAGGGGAGGGGCCGGGGGCAAGCCTCCTGGGCCAGGGGCCGGGCAGGAGGGTCCGCGGGCCATAGTTTGCCCACCTCTGCTGTAGACTGTGATGGGGGAGTTGAGCTCTTGAGAATAATCCACATACCAAGATGAAGGAGGAAGAAGGGACTCAACCCTGGAAACTGTATTAGCCATATAGAGCCAAGCAGACAGGAAATTGTTTGGTTAAATCAAATGAAACTCCTGCATGAAAAAGCCATGGCATAACAGTGAAAGGACAGCTGTCCTCACCACTATCCTGATCCACACTGTGTAAAAAGATACAGTAAAATGAAGCTTGGCCAGAGCAGTAGTAAATCCTAATTCTTTTATTTTTTCCCCCTTAATTTTTAAAAATGTCCATGAGGGAAAAGGTAACTTAAGACCCCTTGGACTCACATCTCACCTAACAATAAGCTCTGCTCCTTGCCATGACATCTGAGAGAGCCCATGATGCCAGCCTCCACTGCCCACTTGTTATATTTTTAAACAAGCACCCTCATGCTTTCTCCCATACTGCCCCTCATGCTTGGGAGGAGCTTCCCATACGTATCCTAAAAGCTACCTCATTATCCTCCTTAAAATCCCTCCTGAAAATTCTCCTCTCTCCATGATGCCTTCAAAACACTTGACAACAAAAATTTAGGCTGTTGGTATGCTGAGACCACAGCGTACCATGCTGACCAATACTGTCTCATTGTTTCCTTGTACTCCCTGCATATTTCTCTTGGTAGCTCTCTGCAAGTTCCCTCAGATCCCTTGGGTATTTAACAGTTGGCCTAGGTTTGTGCCAGTGCCTCCTCTTTCACAACTCCAGTCTCTGATAATACCTCATCCTTATTACCAGGAAAAAGTATGGGTCTCTACAACATCCTCTGTAGTGAAGATGGATACAAAAGTCATTTAGCTATTGTGCAGTGTTCTTCTCCTCCTCAGCTGCTCCTTTTACTCCCTGGTAATCGAGACCACCCACTATCCCCCAACATTCCTGCTTCTTATATATTTAGTGAACTTTCTGAAAGTCTGCTTAAACACTTGAAGCGGTGTTCCAGAGCTAGAGAGGGGGAAATCCTTGTTTATAACTCATTCATCTTCTGACACAAGATGCAAACACAGGGGAAAGAATATTCATTTGATGAAATAAAGGAGATGTATTTAGTAAAAAGGTAGAAATACTTTGTGCTCTTAATATTTTGAATCTGTTGCTGGACAAAAATTCTCCGAGCAAACATACTTTTGAACCCTTTGTCATGTATCAACTATAAACCTAGTATAATTTGCAATACTAATCCAATAAACTGTCTGCATATTAGTGAAATCCTAGATTTTCCCTACTGAAATAAATCCTTCAGGTGAGAGTGGCCCAGGACAATAATTGGAAACTTGCCCTAATGATTGCTTTATACACTGCTCTTCTGGGTCAAAGTCATTTTGCCATAAAAGTACAGCTCCATCTAGAGTTAGCATGTCACCCTGCAAGGGTACCTGCAGTAATGAAAACTGAAAGTTACAGCCTCAAAATTTACACTGTATAACATTGAAAAACAATAACATCTTTTGGGACTGCATGTATAGGTCACACAGCTGTTGAAGGAGTGAGGAGGAGAAAATTAAAAGAAGTAGATCCATTTCAGGAACAGGACAGACAGTTTCCACAGACATCAAACTCTCGATTTGCTGTGATGTCTGAAACTGTTCCTTGGGATCAATTCAGGTGGAAAACGTACACTTTTAATCCTTTGTAAACTACTGCCATATTCCCCATGGAAACTGTTCAGCACAGGAATGTGAAATTCTCAGCCTAGACCAAATAGGCAAACACTCGGAAAAATCTCAAGTGTTGCCTTAAGGAAGGGCAGGTAATTCTGTCATTTACATTTCAGCTATGTAATGAATCACCAAGCCATTCTTATTGCCAACAGAAGAATCCAACAAGTCATGTCTAATACTGTAAGTGTAACTGGCAGCTTCACCCAAGTGAAGAGAGCTAATGATTGTTCCAGACAACATCACACCTCCACTTCAAGACCTCTTCAGAAGCTATAATACACAAAGCATTTTCCTTTCTCCACCTTGACATGTTACTGCTTTCTATTGTATGCAGTGTTGCTGTTTTAGCCACGTCGGTCCCAGGATATTAGAGACACAAGGTGGGTGAGGTAATGTGTTTTAATGCTCTCTCTCAGGCTCTGTGTAAGCTTGTCTCTCTCGCCAACAGAAGGTGGTCCAATAAAAGAAATTACCTCACCCAACTTGTCTGTCTGCTTTCTATTTTGGCAGTCTCAGAATGCCAAAGGGGTGTGGTTGAATTTTAAAACCAATTTACTTAAGGAGGGGTTCAGAAAGGAAAGAGATGGATGACACTTCCATTTTGTCTCATTTAAAACCAGTTACTTCCTGATTATATGAAATGCAAAGAATAAGCAATATGACAAATTAAGCAGTGTACACAAGACCAAAGGGAGATGGGGGAGACTATCCATTGAACAATTTAAAATCTATTAATTTATGGACTTTTTTTTTTTAACATACTACATACATGAAAATTAATCCTGACAGCCTGAGGAATGACTTAAGGACCTTGTTGTTACTGGACAAGCTTGCTTTTTAAAATACTTGTATATAAATAAATTGGGCATCTATCAATGGAAATAAGGACAGGCGTATTCAGGTACTAAATTTCACAGCAGAGGAAATGACAAGATGAAATGCAGTTGCAGGAGCAGAGAATATTTTTCCCAAGAGCTATTTCCCAAGATGTCTTTTCAGGTCTGGATCTGAAAAGAACATGTGGATCTCTATTAACAGGCACTGTGCTTGGTGGTGATAAAAAAACAAACAAAAAAAACAGTCTCTGTTCCTAGAATGCCTTTCCTGATCAAGCAGAAACAAACACGAGAATATTATTTGTGTGCTAGGAGGGGGCTTGAGAGTGAATCATGTCTAACCCAGCTGCCTAGTTCAAAGGTATACTGAGAGTGGTTAGTCAAGCAAGGGACTTGGCCCACCAGGGCAGAGCACCTGTATTATGCAGTATATTTTAAAACAAGATATAACTGCAAAAATCTGTCCTGGCCACGTAAGGCCCCTAATATAAGAGGTGTGTTTCAGCCACTGTCCCCAAAGTAGCAGGCTATCAAGCAGGCTGAGAGAGCAAGAGGAACCTGAACTTGTACCCAATTTGCCTCCAATATCCACCCTTCTCTCTCTTATCTCCCTTTTGACAGGAAGTCAGCAGCCTCCCGCTGGTCCCAGTAAAGTGTGATTATGGTGTGTCTTGGTTTACACAGTCTGCTCAGTTGCATTCAGCTTCCTGTCATCTAATTTGACTGAACATGTTTGTGAACAAACAAACACAGTAACATTTTAAAATGGAGATGAGGGCTGATCATAACTAGAGCAGTAAGTCTCAAAGTAACACTCTCGCTCTCTCTCTTTCCCTCATGTGCCAAAAGTGGATTTTAGCAGTATCCTTGGTGCTAGGTCCAAAAAGCTGGAGAGAGGTTTATTTAATACACACTGCAAAGCATTGGGCTGTTGGGCTGTGTGTTAAACATGAAAAAGTGTTAGGAGGAAATGCTAGATCCTTCTGCAGATGATTAAGAATGACTCAGTAATTCATCATGGAGCTGAAACAAGCAATAGAATTACCTGAGCTTCCTGTAAATACAGAAGCATTTCTTCCTTTTCTTATACCCATAAAAAAGTTTTAAGCCATTAAAAGATCAAATCAGTGGGGTAACGTTTTACCAACACATTTCATGAGAGGGGAAATCCTTTCAGTTAAAGAGATTTTAGAGCCTCGAGGAACTCTGTCTCTTGGGCCCTCTGCTGAGCAACCTACATGCTTCTGTCATACTGCGTAAATCTTCCATTCTCATTAGGTGAAGAAATAGCTAAGGTAGCTGAAGGTCAGCAATGCAAGGGTGGAGACTGCAAGAATGAAAAGCTTCGAATGACTTTCACCTGAATCCTTTGGTTGATAAGATTATGCTTCTGTTTATACAATTAAAGAGAAATGGGAGCCTGGATTTCTGTGAGAAACAAAGGTAACTGGGCAATCATAGGGCAAAGGCACCTGTCGGATTAGTAGAGGGAGAGCCCTATTACTATTTATTTAGGCACAAATTTACACCGATAAATTATAGGTGGAATTTTTAAAATCTCCTCTCTTGCTCCCATGCATGGGAACCTTAATAGGTCAACAGCATCTGTAAAATGCAGATAATTCTTGCTTGTCTTCCCTTAATTTGTGAGGTTTAGTTACTGCTGTTAAAATGCTAAGCCTTAAATATTTAATAATGGACTAATCAGTCTCCTAGTGACTGTCTCCTCTACATCCCACTCTAAACGCAACATTTACTGGTAGTAGGCATGGGGGGGAAATGTTCAGTAGTATCCAGAATGGTTAGCAGCAGCAGTTCACTCAGTGAGGCAGGGTTGCTCCTCTTTCCTACCCCATCTTTTGAAGATGTAAGAACATTCCTATTAGTAGTAACCTTCCTCATCCACCTACAAGTATTGAGAACCATATAGCAGCTCACAGAGTAAAATCGGAGCTATGAATCAGCCTTTAGTTTTTGATTCCCACATTGATCAAGTTGGTATTTTGACCACAAGATTAACAGACATTTCACCTTCTGCAGGTAATATCAATGTATGAAGTGGCATGCAAAAAGATTTCGATATAAACACACATTATCTACTGCTTCACATTTCCCAAATTTCCATTCCTTTTTATAAAGGTACATGTTACAAAACTATACTGGCTTGAGGTTAGTGCCCCACAAATAGTATTACACAAGCATGCAACTCAGAGCAGGAAAAAGGAAGGAAGTATTATTGCACTAAACCCCATCTTGCTCTGTTCCTCCCTAATAATGGGGTTGACAATTTGTGAGGCTAAGCTTAACTTTAAAATAAGAGTGACACTGTTTAGTACTGCCTCCAGTTTCTTCCAGAATTTAATGTGATGCACAAATGTGACTTTACAACCTTGGTCAGTATACTCTTGGGTTTCACTGCACAAGGAAATTAGGTCCTCTGTCTACTGTAGTCCTACTAAATACTACAGGGTAGTATTAATCAGGATTTTGGCTTTTGACACAGTCCCATATGCAGCGCTGAAAGTAACTTAACAGACTTACCGGTACGCAGGGCAGCCGGGGTCTTGGGCAAGGGGGGGGGGGCGGCTCTGGGCCCCCAGAAGGGGCAGAGCCTCGGGCAGAAGGGACGGGGCTGGGGCCAGACTCCTGCAGCCAGCCCTTCAGTGCTACCCGGCCCATGCTGCCCGGGGCTCTGGCTGCTACTGTGGCAGCCGTTAATTGTTCTGCTTTACTCAGCACTGGTGAGACATCAGCTGGGCTATTGTTTCCAGTTTTGGGCACCGCACTTTTAAGAAAGACATGGATAAATTGGAGAGTCCAGAGGGGATAACAAAAATGATAAGAGGTTTAGAAAACATGGTTTGGAACTAGAAGAGGTTGGAACTATGAGAAAAAAGATTGAAGAACTGTGCATGTTTAGTCTAGAAAAGAGAAGGCTGAGAGGGGACACAATAACAGTCTTCAAATACGTAGACGAGGCTGTTCTGAATAGGACAGTGATCAATTGTTCTTCACGTCCACTGAGGGTAGGACACAATTAACTGGCTTAATTTGCAGCACGAGAGATTTAGATTAGATATTAGGAAAAACCTTTCAAACTCTAAGGGTAGTTAAGTGCTAGAACAAGTTACCTAGAGAGGTTGGAGGTTTTTAAGGACAGACTAAATGTACGCCTGTCAGGGTATACTTAATCCTGCCTCATCATTAGTTGGGGGCAGAGGGGGAAAAGAGAATGGACTAGATGATCTCTTGAGGTCCCTTCCAGCCTTATAGCCATTTCTAGGACTCTGTGGTGTGCTGTGCAGCTTCATCTCCTCATAAATGAAATGTATTCTCCATTAAGTAATAGAGAAGTGTTTACTTTGTTTTCTACTGCAAGGGCAGAGGGGCACAAAGATACCTCCCCCATGCTGGAGTATTGCACAATAAGGTGCATATCTTTGCTTAAAGCATGTGGCATTTGCCTCTGTCAGAGACAGGATGCGAGATCAGACAGGTCCCTGCGGTGTTCCAAGATGACCATTCTGACAAGAGCCTTCCAATACACAAAGCAACATCACAGACCTTAAAGCAAAACTAAATGTGTTTTTTGAAAACACAAGAAGAAGATACTTGCCCATATTTTTCTGCAAGTTCCTTTGCCTCCTCTTCTTTCACCGTTCTCTGGTCTTCCATATCACTTTTGTTTCCACATAATACAATATCAGGGTTTTCACAATACGCATGCATTTGTAGCTGGCCTAACAGCAAAACAAACAGTAAAAGCAGGGCTTATCTTATTCTGTTATGTATAAAGTTCACTTAGAACATGAGTGCCTTTTTAAAACGGAAATGGAGAACTTGAGTGAAGTAATTCTTGGACAGGAAAAAAATAAGTTTGCTGCCAATTTCTTACCTGTTTTCTTCCTCAACCTTTTTTTAAATTTATTTTATTAAAAGCACTAGAGATATTTGCACTCCAGTGGGATCTTTGCTGCTTATAAGTTCATCTGGTCCTCCTGCTTACTCTTAGATGCTTATAAGACCCCCATTACTATAGCATTCAAGAGCTTAAAATCGTTAATGTATTTACACTCACAACACCCCAATGAAGTAGGGAAGTGCTTTTATCCCCATTTTACAGATGGGGAACTCTCTGACACAGCGATTTGCCAAAGGTCGCACAGGAAGTCTGTGGCAGACCAGGGAACTCAGACCAGTCTCCTGAGCGCTAGGACACCAGACCACCCTTCCCTCCACATGAAGTCATTACTCCACTTTGGAACAATCATCTCCACAACCAGTTGTGATGCCAGAGTGTTTTGACATCGGGTGAAAGAAGACAAGCAGTCTTCTCAAACAAAAATCCTACTCCAGTCCAAACATGCCTAGTATTTAAAAAGCAGGACAAGAGAAATACAGAAAATACATGGAACAAGCCAAATCCATTCAAACGGCAATTCCACAGAAGTCAAGGGCACAATATTTGATAAGATTTTCTATAACACTCGCAGTTCTTCAATTACAGTACTGGAGAATGCAGTATTTAGGATATACGGAGGAAAGGACATTACGATAGACCAGTAGCCATGGATGGTTTTCGGTATTCTGTACACATGCCTCTTTTCAGTAACAATTCATGCAAAGTCGTTTTATTATGTGCAGATTTTATGTTAAGCACAATGCTCCTCCCCATCAGCCTGTAGGGGGACGTCATCTAGTATTGCCCATTACCCCTCCCAATACTAATGGCTCTGACCCGGGGACAAAATGCACCAAACCTCTTGCTATGGTGCAGTGGAGTGGAGCTGAGGAACATGCCTGCACCCATTGTCAGCCAATCACTGGAAATCCAAATCACTGGGGCAGATGCGCCTCGTAATCCCTAGAGTGCTAGATTGTGAACCCACAATCTAAGGATTAAGGATCTGCCTCTGAGCTTTTCCAGTGAGCTGCTGGTAATGGGAAAGTGAGTACTGCCCTGTTCCTGTTGCATTAACAGTTAGGCAAGTGTTTCCTGTCTCTTCCATAACAAACTCCAGAACAAAACTGCCAGGTGTTGAGTGGTGCCCATGACAAGCTCTCAATCAAAAAGAATCAGGACTGAGTTTCAAGTTGGCTGATTTCAAATTTCATTACTAAACATCACCCAATTTCACATTGTATTTCAAACATCAGGGGTATGAAACCAGCCTGACTGAGGTTTTGTGAGTGCAGCAAGCAAGTTAAAAAAGTCAAGGCTTCAGATACAGTGTCGGAAATCAGATTCACTCACAGCTATTTTATACAGATTTCCATTTTGTTCCTTTCTAGAAAGCTTTAAGTCAAATATTTTTGGCCTTATCCCCGCTGTGGAGCTCTATAGTTCTAAATTCAGCACAGGAAAAACAGTGACATACAAGTAAAGACGTGACATACTTATCCAGTTTCTGACATTGAGAAAGCTTTGCTCATTTGTCAGATCGAAGAGGAGAAGAAAGCCCATAGCATCTCTGAAGAAAGCTGTTGTCAAGCTACGAAACCTAGAAATACAAAGCACAGTTGTAGCTGGTTTCCCTTTCATAAAGTATAGCTGATGAGTCAATTATTTTGAAAAATGATCATACTATAAAATAGGCAGATAAGTGAGGTAATCTAAAATTTAATTGTACTAGAACCATCACTAGTCATGTCTGATTTCTGCTGACATAAGGTCTGAACCAATTAAGTTACTATAGGCCTGATCCAAGAGTAAAGTTAGTGGAAAGACGCCCATCAATTTCTGTGAGCTTTGGATCAAGCCTTACATTATACAGCACATTTTGATCAACTTGGAGAAAGCATCTCATTCAAAGTGAAATTCAAATCATGTTGAAATTTATTACTGTGCATTTAAAATTTGACAATATTTTAAAACATCATCAGACCAAAAATGTTGCGATATTAAAGCACTTTGAAACAAACAGGACAGGTGAAGAATATGCACAACTTTTACTTTCTATATGAAGAGAAACTGCCGACAATATTCAGGACAAAAACTTGATTCCATGCAAGATAGAACATTAGAGAGTGACTCTCACCAGCCATCTACCTGATCTTTACAAAGGGAGGGATGAATCCTGCATCTCTACTTCCACAAAGACAATGGAGGGTTTGCCTGCTTAAGAACTGGGTAAAGACTGCAGGATGTGACCCATAGATAGCTACTGGCTTTGGTCTTGAAAGAGGGCAAATGGTTGGAGATACAGAGCTAGATATAAATTTGCTAGCACAGCATAATATATATATCATCCTCAATAATTACCATTCAAATAAATTACAGCCACTTCTAGCTGGCTACAAGAGCTAATGAAAGCCTAAACAGAGTGCAGGTCGATATAACCAAATATGCACTGCAGACTTCTGGCAGACCCCTCATTCTGACTTCATGTGTATGGCTTCCACTGAGTCTTAATATCTTCAGAAGAACGAACGAAAGCACAAGAAGATAAATTAAGAAAATAGATTAAGAGAGGGGGGGCATGCTAGGAAAATATATATAAAATAGAGAGAAAAAAAAGCGTCTATAGGTAAGAACAAACCCCCCCCCCGCCCCCAGGGGAAATTGTGATCACATTGCTGTTAATGTCAGAATACGGGCACATTTTGATTCATCTAGAGCAGGGGTAGGCAACCTATGGCACGTGTGCCGAAGGCGGCACGCGAGCTGATTTTCAGTGGCACTCACATTGCCCGGGTCCTGGCCACTGGTACGGGGGGCTCTGCATTTTAATTTAATTTTAAAAGAAGCTTCTTAAACATTTTAAAAACCTTATTTACTTTACATACAACAATAGTTTAGTTATATATTATAGACTTATAGAACGAGCCTTCTAAAAATGTTAAAATGTATTACTGGCACGCAAAACCTTAAATTAGAGTGAATAAATGAAGACTCGGCACACCACTTCTGAAAGGTTGCCGACCCCTGATCTAGAGTCATGCTCATAAAATACAACAGACAACAGGAGAATTCATGCACTTGAGTTCAGTTAATAGTTTAGTAAACACAGTCACATTTGCTTCATATAAAGGCCACACCTTTCCTGTCCTGCAGTGTCCCACAGTTGCAGATGTATCCTCTGTCCTCTGCCGCTAATGCCATCTGGCCCATTGGATCTATACACCTATAAACAGACAATTTTCCAAGTGTCAGCAGTCCACTCAACAGCACAGCAAAAAACTGACGTTTAAAATATAATACTTTAATCAGTCTTGATGCCAATAACAATCTAATGCATTGTTGATCTAAGAGTCAACACTACAGACAGACACCATTTCTTTGCCTTATGAGGCCGAGTTGTAGGCTCCCACTTTGATCCTGCCCTCTAGTAAAATATTTAACAAAGGAAAAGCATCAAATGAGAGAAAAAAAATGTTTCCAATAAGCTATGAAGACCTAACGAGAAATTCAATGCGGCTATGATTTGCATTAGGCAGGCTTGATTCTTTCTAGTTTTTATTTTTATTATTACTGTTTCACTCTGTTCAAATTTAAACAATTATAAAAGCGCAATCAGATAACGTAATATGGCAATATATTTGTACCATTAACAGAACCATGTCAGCAAAACAGAATATGACTGTAGAGATAATGACTTCTGTTTAACTGTCACAAGGTTGCTAAGAAGAATCTAGTGTAGATCTTATCATATTATAGCTTACAAGAACAGGAACGGGAATAAAAGCTCAGTAGCTTATTTAGCAGGTGAATATAAATAAAGACATCTGTTGAGTATGAAGAGAATCAAATGGAAATAGTGTTTCAAGTCATTGTCTAGAACACATCTCAGTTTGGGTTGTCCTCTCCTTTTCCTATTGGTATTACTGAACCCTAAGATTAAAGAAGTTATGGATATACAGGCAATATCATTGGCACAGAATGTGTCACAGGATAATGGTCACAGAGCGTCAGACAGGCATATCAAATCAAAACCATCAAGTTTAACTGTCTCTTGCTTGGAAAATATTCATTTTGAGAATTTTGTTTTGGTTACTCCATTAGAACAATTACTCACCCATCAGCAGCAAGTCTGATCAAGAACATTCTGCACCATGAAAACCCCTTGGTACTCATGCATATTGAGTGTGGGGTGAGTAGCCCAGGTAAAGTGACTCTGCCGAAAGTCGTCTGAAACCCCTGTATGCTAACAAGATGGGCTTGGTGCCAACTATGAATGTGCAAATGCGGCAGGGAACGGTGGTATGGTAATCATTGTGGTTCTCCATTGCCTCAAATCAAAAAACATTTCCCATATATTTTAGATAATTTAGGAGCCACCTCCTGGATTCTTTGAAGACACTGGGAAAATGGGTTTCCCAGGTAATCAGGGCCCAGATCCAACACCCAATGCCAGATTACTTTCTGTACTGGATGCCCTGTTGGATTATCATCATTATGGCATGAATTGTTTACAATATTTACTGACAGCAACCTCACTTCAGATAAAATTTCAGCAACTAAAATTTTCCAATTTTATAAAAAATGACTTTAAAATATTCAGTATGGATCACAGATTTTCTCTATAAAGTGATTAAAAGGAGGAAATCTTGTAGCTATCCATTCAAACTCTGTTGCATTTAAAATTGAGACCTTGTTAAATAAATGTATTAGAGTAGCTTTTAGTTTTCAAATTTTGACCTCTGATGCTTAGGAGTTTGGAAAACATAGGTACCTGCTTAGGAAACTTAAGAGTCCTACAAGCGTTGCCCCTTTCATTTAGAAAGTATTAATTATTCACCACTGCCCTACCCTGTATTTTTCAGTGGCACAAAAAATTAACATGGTTGTCTTTGTTTACTAGCCACTTTGGCTTATAAAGAAATTTATGCCAATGCATCTTTAATTGGGGCCAGTTCTGCAGGCCTTCCCTTGTGGAAAGTCTACTGATGAAAATGGCAGTTCAATTTACAGGGAATGGTCTGAATGCCATAGCATCATCCGTTGCTATCAGTACAGGTCATTGAACTTGGTTTATTAGTTAACTGCTTCTGCAGAAGGGAGTAACAAAATAATTCTTTTGTGGACCTCACAGAAACAGCCTTTTTTGTTTTATTTGCAGTTCCTAGAGAGAGAAGAAGGTGGTATTTTGTGCCCATGATATATGGTCGACTATGCAGTGACAATCAGGAGATCAGGTTTTAAAAGAGTAATTTTTATGCAGTTGATGGCTAGATTTTTTTTTTTTTTTTTTAAATAATTGTACATTCAAAGTAGCCGACAGAGTTGCTGCAACTTACCACTCTCTTTTCCCGAAAGTCAATCCCCACTGTTGTGATAAATCTGGAATTAAATTTGCCATCTGTGTACTGGTAAAGGATGCTGGTCTTTCCTACTCCCGAGTCACCGAGTGCTAGGAATTTGATGAGGTAATCGTAGTCTCCATCAGACATAGTGAGATCTTTGTAGACCACCTTTAAAAAGCAAAACAAAAAAACACTTCTCATTTCATTACACAAAGCAAAAGGCAGTATTCTGAATACATAAGTTTGTTAATTCTAAGTCTCCACTAAAGCTTTTTTGCAACTTATTTAAAATAAAGATAAGAACGGGCCTGATTTTGCCCTCCTTTACACTGGTTTTATTCTGGTGTAACCCCACTGAAGGTCACTGATGGAGCGGAGGCTCAGGCTTAACATTTTGAAAGGTCAATGCCAAATTCAGCTCTGACATAAAGGGACACAAATCTACTGACTTCAGTGCTTAACTACAACAGAACTGATTCTGGCTCATAATTTCAGAAGAAGCCAAGGGCCAATTCTACTCTGACTCCAGTTTTACACTAGGTGCAACTCCAATGGCTCTGACTGAATTACTCTTGATATACACCAATGTAAGTGAGAGAAAAATCAGGCTCAATTTGTTAGATAAAGAGAGAAATCAGCTGTCCTGGATAAACTACCTACCAGTCAATGGAGGGTGCAAGTGAATGCAGGATGGTCCTCCCCAGTAAGAGTTGCTACAGACCATCATTTATTAGAAACAAAAAAGGAGAAAATAAAATTTTTACTTTTTTACAAAAAGCAACAAAGTACAGAATTAAAGTACTCTGGAAAACCATGTACACAGCATTAGTCACAGAACTAATTTTCATCCATATCTGAAAGTTGCAGCAGTTTGCATCTGCAGTATCCAGCTGAACTAGTATTCACCAGAGCATACTAGATTTGGAATACATGAAGAATCTATTTTATTCTCTTTACTTTGCCCACCACAAGCAGCAATTCAATAAAAGGCACTGTACTGCCATAAACAATCAAACTATATTGCACTTTTTGGGGGGGGGGGGCACAGAATGCACCATACCAGGCTCTTTTAAAAACAGCTTAACAATAAGTGCTCCATGTCTTATGCAAAATGAATTTGGTGGGAGTTTCAGGAGATGCTCCTCTGGATGGTCTATGAAGACTGACCTATCCTCTCAACCCAAGTGTGGCTTAAAGAGTTCATTTTCTTCATTAGTCATTGAAGGCAGATCATCCAAACAGTCTCTCCAACTCTTTCCATCCAAGTTCTTGATGCAGAAGTCCATAATTAATATAAAACCTCACTACCCTTTTTATAAGGCATGATGGGAACACTGTTAGCAGCATTCAATACGTTGGGTCACAGTTACATTCAAGCTACTTAAAATGCCCATATATATATAAAAATAAGAGAGAGAGAGAGAGAGAGAGTATCTATACTAGGCCTTTAAAACTAAATTGGGACTTAAATTGCACATTCACGGTCAAATTTTCAAAGGCCACCTCAAACTGAAGCCCAAATTCTCTATATCTACCTTCTTGTATGAAAACACTAGGATGTGAAGGTATAACTGGCAAATCCAGGTTCAAGTGTGCACAAAATCTTGGATTTAAAAAAACCCTGTGGGTGCAGTTTTAGAAGCTAGTTTGAGCTCTCTTGAAAAATAATGTATCCTTTGAAAAGCACATGTGGACATTACAACACAGAAAATAGCCAGCTAACCAAAACCAAAACACTAGAACTGCCTATTATTAAAACTTTTATTTTCCAAGATTTCACTTAATGCAAACTTTTGAAGAATTAGTATTTTCACATGGAATACATGCAAATGAATGTGACTGCCTATATGTTTCTTATGCAAAGCTATGTTTTCCTCCAAAACAGCCTGTTTTTCATTTAAACACATATGTGAGCAACAGTTTCCATGAAAAAAAGACCATTTTTGAGTTTGTAATGAAATAGAAGACAATTTTCAGGTATTTTTGTAATTTATTAATGATAGTTTGAACAGTTTTACCAACCACTAAACCTAGGTGTTTGAATACACTGCTAAACACTACTACTGTATCAGTCATTAGAATTTAAAATGTCTAGTCTTATCCCCTTTGGGGATCATAAAAGAAAAAAGTATAAGATTTAAAATTTGAAGTGGAAAATTAGGTGTTTCAAAATGCCTAGACTGTACAAAACAATTCCTAAACCAACCACGTCAATTCCAGGGAAAATTCAGCGTATGTGAAAAAGACACATGGGAATTGTGCTCTAGTTGTTTCCGGTTTGAGTAGCTACTGATCTCCCCTTCCCCAGTATCTTGCTGCCTTATGCAGCTTGTAAAAGAAAACATCTAAAAAGAAACCTGAGGAGCTCTTCCAAAAGCAATAGAAATCTCGCACCAAAAAATTACCAATTACCAGGGAAGAAAAGGTATCAAAATATAAAGAGACCATAAAATTAAATACATTTTTCTTGCAAAAATGGCTGCAAATAATAATATTATTAGAACTGTAATACTATTTTCTGCTCTAACTACACAAAGCTGTAAGGCTAATCACCTCATTAAGTCCACAGCATTTCAACTATATTCTTTGCAGTATAATTGTCCTCAATAGCATAGCATCAATTCAGACCTTAGTCCCTACTGCACAACTTGCGGTTTGGAACAAACTCCAGACCTCCAGTGTGTGGGCATCAACCACCACCATTAAGGTAGGAACGTAACTGTCTCTGAGGCTTTGGCTTTATTGCAAAATTTCATATTGTAAACAGAACATGACTGTGATGAGTTTAGTTAGCCAACATGGTGCAGACCCCATGACTGTGGTCAGTGCAGACAAGAGGGAAGATTTGTCAAAGGCATAAGTGGCAGGTAGGTGCTTCATGGCCACTGACTTTTAATTGGAGTTTGGTGCCCAGCTGTCATTTGTGTCATGAAAATTTCCCCCCAAGCACCACTCCTGCTCTGCATCATTTCAGCTACTCATGTTGATGAACAGCTGACACAAATTCTCCACCTCTACACTCAACACAAAGTCATGGTCAGCTAAATCAACTTTCCACACTCAAGTTTTAAAACATGATAAAATGTGGTCATAACATTAAGGCCTCAGATGAGATGAGACAAGACATTCAGAACTAGCAGCATGATTTCTATGCTGTGTTGCAGGCTTGACACTCCAGAAACACATTCACCTACCCTCTATGCTATAACATGAAGGAGTGCAGAGTCTTACAAGCAGCTAGAGCAGAAGGGAAAGGCATTGCAGTAAAAGGCTTTACCTAGATATTAGAAGTCCTCATCCACCCAGGTGCTCATAAAGACCCGCAAAATACTTTCGGGGATGAGGAAGGGGGAAAAAAATAGGATCACACAGCAAGCAATTCCCCAGAAAAGTTTCCATTGGGAAGTATATATTTTTTAAAATCTTCAGATTGACTATAAAAACAACAAGGAGTCCGGTGGCACCTTAAAGACTAACAGATTTATTTGGGCATAAGCTTTCGTGGGTAAAAAACCCACTTCAGATGTTTTTGTGGATATAGACTAACACGGCTACCCCGATAACAGATTGACTATGACTTCTTCCTAATGTTTAGTTTGTGATGAAATTAATGCTTCCACATCTTCTGCCAAGCTACATTGCAGTCCTTTGTAAACTTTCCCTCTTTTTAAATATACATTCTGTTGTGCATAAATCTCTAAAATTACTAATATTTTAAAAATGCCCAGATACTCAACAAGTGCAACTTGGGACTAGTGTGTTATGAAGACAGGTCATCCCTCTCCGGGAGCTTATCCAATGGTGCATTAGTCTGCACTAGAGAGGTGTAATTCTAATGTGCACCAGTGTGTTGTGCACTGACTGGCCCATGTGGACCCTGCTGGCGTGCACTGTAAAGACACTAGTAGTAATGCTATCCTTTATTCCTAACAGACTGCTGTTGTGAGTAAAATGTGTGTGTATAAAGACCTCAGAAGATAGATACAACAGAAGTGCAAAGTATTCTTATCAGCAGCAGCACGTTTGGAAAGGTAGGAAACTATTATACGTCATCTCACTTTGTGTAGTTTGCTAAAACTTACTGTAAATAGCTACCGCCCTCCACTGAACAAAGGTCAGAGCTAGCACAAGATTAAATATATACATCTTCCAATACAGGAATTTGCATAATACCTGTTTGGATAGGCTGCCACACAATACAGACTGCTTTTTACCCCTGCTTTAATTCACCATATAGCTTGTAATTAACAATTTGCAAATGGCTGGGAACAGGGCCAGGAGTCCCTTAACACAAAATAAAAGAATAATACATTCCAATCAATCCTTGACAAGGAAAAGATCTTCCTCGGTCAAGTTACAGTGCGTATCACTCCCACCTCTCACCCTACAAGATAAACCCAGTACTCAAATATTTCCAGGATGTGTTTACTGTGAAAGTCTGAACCTAACCCTGAAGAGAAGCAAGAGTTATTTTCATAGTCAGCCCCAGCCCTGTCCTCCTCCCTGTACAAATATTTAAAAAGTGTTCTCCACCTTCCGCCTTACACGGCTTACAATCCAGGAACCTAGAAGCATCCAAATTTCTACTATATAAATTGACAGTGTGTGAAATAACAAAATCCTTCAAGGAGTTAAAAAAAAAACCAAACTGATACCTTTAAACACTTTTTATTGAGGTTTTTTTATACAATAGCCAATGTTTGTTATTTTAAAAAATATCTATTACATGTTTATAAACCTTTACCCATTAATGAAAAAAGGTGGAGATGGGACAGATGAAAGTGACAGTTTGGTGGCCCAAGTCATAGATTTAAAATACACAGAGGATGAATTTCTGCCCCCAGTGAATCAATGGCAAAACTCCCATAGGCTTCAGTGAGGCCAGGATTTAACCCAGCTCTCTGTAACCACCAGCTCAGACCCTAGATGGGTGAGTTCAGTCCTTCATTCTTCCAGTAAATAAAACCGATTTCCTTGCCATTTGTTTTCAAAACAAAATTCTTGTCTGCTCAGGCTGGACATTAAAAATGCCACAGAACTTCCATAAATTGGGCTTTGCCTGGATCCTTTGGCCAAAATTCCCCACCCACTTCTGTATGTTATGCATTGCTCAGTGTTAGTTGCTACTCTCTATACCAAAGTTGCCCTCATTTCCGTGGCACCATACG